GGATGGTGCAGCAGCCTTGAGTGTGCTGGTGGACCCGGCCATGTGGAATGGACTCCGACTGACGGTAACTTGTGACCAACAATGACTGACTGGCGCCCTGACAATCTCCTTATTTAATACTTTATCTATTCCATTGCAGGAGGAGTGATTTCCTAACTACCAGATTACCTATTTAACTACTACTCTGTTCAAAATAATTGTAATATTAAATGATTACTTAAATTGGGATGCTTTGTTTGAATTAATTTAGTCTGTATCACATTCTAGCCACGACACCTCCCTTCAGCAACTGCAACAATTTTAACGGGTTGTAGCATGAATAACTCATCTCTGTACTTTCAATTACTTCACAGGGACCAAAAAATAAAACTATATTAGTAGCCAAGCATGTGTAACCGGTCGCCTTTGAGTCTCTATGCTGTCCTCTTAGTCCCCGCCATCTCGCCTGTCCCTCTGGTAACACATGGACCGACACATTTGCTATTCAACGGAGCCCTTTATTGCTGGTCACAGAGAAAAAAAAACAGAAAACAGATTGCCTCCAGTGAGTGCTCAGCTCGCTCCTAAACAAAAGCACACAACAAGTTTACCCATACGACCCAGGGTGGACAATAAAAGTAAAATAACCACAAATGGGTGGAGCTCCCACCTCTTTCCACTCGACACCATGCAGGAAAGAGAGCGGCGAGCGGTGCGCGACCCCTCTTTATACCCGGCTACCAACAAAGAAAAGCATGGCTCAGCTGCGAGCCCTAGTGGAGTGGAGGTATCCCTGACCAGGCATGTAAATTAACTTGCACATAAACAAAACGTTTTGCGTAATTATTACATCCCGGTTACACATGCTTAATTGAAATTAACTCTGCTTTGAACATTAAAAAGGTACAGTCTTACATCTAATGCAGCTGCCAGTGTGACGGCTCAGTGAAGAACACCTGGTTAGACTTTACTGATGAAGCTAAAATGTATAAGATGTTCTTACACAGTTACTTTGTTCTCACTAACAACATCATGCTGTGATTCTTAATTCTCATAAAATGTGTCCTTGTACCTTATATGTACATTGTTGTACAAGGTTGTATTTCTTACTAGGTTGAATTAAAAATATTCCTCTTCTCCCATGATGCAATGCTGAATAATGCATTTAGAGAAGTCAATGTAAAAAACTAAATAAACACTGTATCTTAAAATCATATCTTAAACACAACATGATTATGTGTCTGGTGTGTGTGTATAGATTATTTTATTTATTTCTTTGACAATATCATAGATCTTTTAAAACAAGCTGTTAGTTTTAGGTTTTTAACGTGTTTAACGATGTGAATATAACATTATACAAAGAAATGTAGCCTTGTGAGCATACAAGCAACTTTATTGCATTAAACAGTAGATATGGTATTCCTTTATGTTTGCACACAGATATATGTGCACATCTTTGTGCAATGACAAATTACTGATTTCATTAAAATAAAAATTTAACGATACACAAACAAGGATGAAATAAACCCTAAGCATAATGTTGCAATTTTTAAAGTATGTCATTTAAATTGCTAATTTAATGAGTTGTGATAAGCAGTTAAGAATGTTGAAAGATGGAAGAACAAGGCTTCCTACTTGGACAATAACCACTGGACTTTCAATTGTGTGCAACTTTGCAGTTCAGCTGGCTCTTAGCCCCTTCATGCTTCAAGATATAGACAACTTTACAATCACTCAGGCCTCGAATTTTTTTCTTCCCTCTAATTATCTCAGTTATTTTAAACACCTCATAGGGGGGGATGAGCACTTCTTTCTCTTTTGCACCAAAAGTAGAATAATGTTTCAAATAACCACCAAAACAGGTCTCAATTTGAAAGCAGCTCTCATGACCAAAATTTTTCAGGTTTTTTTTAAAAGAGCTGGAGGCAAAAGAACCAAATCTAATTATTTGGTTTACGTTGCCAGTAAATCTAACATTGGTTCGTCTATAAGTAGTGAGACAGTTGTAATTGTTATTCAAGATCTGTATGGCTGATGCCAGCAGGTAATGTAAAGAGTGAAACTTAAATGAGGATGTATACTCATCCCTCTCTGTCCTGACTGCCTTGTTGAATTTTTGGTACACTTCATTAGCTGTATAAAGACAGATTGCTGTCAGGTGAAGTTCAGTTAGATCAGGATTCGTTCTCCGTTTCCGTTTTGCACAGCGTTTTGCGACTTTCCACGCATTTGCAAACAATCCGCTAAACTCTTTTTTTAAGTATTTATGTTGCACTAATTCCATCATTTCTTTATTGCAGCCACAGTACATGTCATCAACTGACTTTTCAGCCATGTCCAGTGGGAAGACGTGGTTGGCATCTGGTTTAGTGAAACTGAAATGTATCTAAAGAGGGAACCAACGAAAAATGTAATGAGAAAGTTGTTAAA